CCAAAAATATAGTGATGGTTCAGTGGGCCTTGTTTAACTCGTCGATAATGTTATGCCCCGCAGGCTTCGTAAGCTTGACTCAAACTTGGACAATGATACATTTACACGCATTAAAACAACGCAACTACAATAATTAACAACAACAAACGTCAGACAAATAATAGGCAATAAAGGACTTAAGTACAAGAGTTAAGCCTATACAAGCATTGAGGGATAACTGTGAAGCAATGAGTTTTTCAGGATACTACATGAAAAGTATGACTGACACTCACTGCAGCACAGGAACGTTGAGACTGTGTAACTGATCTCCGCGGTGTTGACGGCTTCTTTGTATACGGAATGAGGCCGGAGGCTTTATTTGATTAAGAAAGGTTTACGAAACGTTTTTTATTTAGGTTCCTATGCGCTCCACTGCTATTTGATAGAAAAATGACTCACGGAAAGCTCCTATGTTTATGTTCAGTCGCTCTGCTTCATAGGATTTGCGTTTGAAGGTGTTAGTCGACATATCCTTAATACGGGTTATGCCAAGCAACCTGTAATATACATGTATCATTATAATAATAAAACAATACAAATTCTTACACGATTGCGACATATCGTTATGCGAACATATGCCTAAATCAATTTGAGTGATCGATTAATGAGATATGTCGTCATTTGACGATCCTATGAATCTTACTGTAAGTGACAGTGTTATTTTAAGTGGTGTTATTGCAGCTCACGGTTTTATTGTAACTGACGATGTTATTGTGACTGACGGTGTAACTTTAACTGGCGATGTTATTGTAAATGACGGAGCATGACTAGGCGGCGGAGCCCTTTTGGGTTGTTATTGCTTTCCCGGAATAACAAGCCAACGGTGGGATCCAATAAGTGAAAATATACTGTGATAGTAGTGCGGTCACTACTTATTATCTGACTATATATGGGCAGAATCCCTTAACCGCGGTGGTGGGACGAGCATAGCCCTAAGTGAGTTCGATCCGCCACGGAAGCGCTATGTTCCGCTCACAATTCTACTGAGTTTATTTAAGAACTATATGAACACAATATATGGCAACAATTAGATACACGACAGACATTCACATTCATTCAGACAGACATACAGACTGTGTGAAGAGAGCAATAATAGATCGACGACGATTTGAGGTGAAGTGGTCGGGATGGAGTCAAACGATCGTTCGGATGATGCCCCGTGATTGAAGTGACTATTGAGGTTGGTGGCAGTTTGGTGCCGCCCTCGCCACATGGACCATTTTCTGTCCAAGGTCCTCATAGCTCTGTGATGCTACTTGCTCTCTAAGGTCATGGAGCATCTGCGTTGCCTAAATTATCATTTAATTCCGAAAAAGATAGAGAAGCTCCGCTGGAAAATTTGCTATACGCGAAGTGTTTTACTTAATACGCAATATGTTGGACCGACTCCAAAAATCATTGTGAGGTAAGAGATAGTTTCCCACGTAATCAAAGCAAGGCTTTCTTTCTTAATAAGAGCTACTCAAATTTCTGGCATTTTGGGAATCGAGCGTATAGAAGTTCTAGGACAGAGTGTGGAGTGATTAAGGGATATCTAAAAACCCGTGGATTCGAGAATTTCTAGGCCCACCAAGTGTTCCAGCTTTCCGTTATTGACAAATTGCTATGATCGGTGTCAGAAAGAATAGCGCTGACTTAACACATCGTTACGCCTGTGAATATCACTTGAGTCAAGCATATATTACTTCTACGCTTTTTAAAGAAATCGAATTTATAGAACGTATTCAACGAATTAACGAAATCGAATTCCTAGAGTGTATCCGACTACAAGAGCGCATGTGGCTCAGTGGTCAGAGGTGCTCTGCGTCGCACACGAAGACAATGGTTCGATCGCGCGTTCAAGGCTCACTAAGCTGTCTACCCCTCCGGGTTGGTAACTTGGTGCCTAACTGGTCTCAGACTTGTCTGGAGGGATAAGCAGCACTGATTCGGTTCAGCAAGAACCCGCCGCGAGTCATTGTAAGGGCCAGATATGCGTTCAATCACCTCAAACGATGTTAAAAATTGAAGACGAATGGATAGCGCATCTCTCAGGCATTGAACCACGCCGGAAGCTTTATTCTTTATCCTTTTTATCCGACAACTTCGACTCTGTTGAACGGTTTACACTTCGAGCTATAGCGGCCGTTCTCCTAAATTCACACATTCAACGAAAAGAAATGGAACATAGATACCGAGTTGCCTATTCATGGAACATAGATACCGAGTTGCCTATTCTTTTTGTTTCTTTCTTCCCCATTTATTCTACACTTTCCAAATATTATAGAACGAAAGCGCATAAACACATTTCATTTTGCCTCAACTAACGAGAACTCCATTTCCATGTCAAATCATCAAAATCGTGGTATTGCAAAAAGTTCGCATTACATGCCCGAATGCAAAATGTAATACTTTTCTCTAGCAGGATCTTTTCGGAAAGCATATCAAATTTCGAAATTCCTGTTCTCAAGTTATAGAATAAGTGCTAAAATTGAGCTGAGAAGCCTTTCACGCATCCATTCAGTGAAGCTAAAATGAAACGCGGAAAAAACATAACTTTTTTTTCTGGCAGCTTGAGGTTGATATGAGTATTCATTCGACCAAGTCTTCGTCGTCGTCTTCAATACCTGCATTCCAGTCGATTGCGCCCAGTCGTTTGGCCTCATTGTGATCTTCGTCTTTGTTGTACTCGATCAGAATCGATTGCGATATGGCACCACTCAAATGAAGTATGTCATCATTGACAGTATTTACACAAAGAAGTTTGTAACAAGTCAACAAAACGACTTTCATTAAAATTCCATAGAAGTGGAAAATTATTTCTAATGACTCAGCTCGACAAGCGGCATATGAAATGCTTGAGTGAGCAGCTGATTAAGTTGCGAGCCTCTTCAACACACAGATACTCTAGAATATCACGAAGTAGATAATAACGTGGGCAGACAGTGTGTGCCATATTGCTGTGAAGGTCACTATCAAACGTGCGAATCTAATTTCCCTGTAATTCTACGATTCCTTGCCATAGTTTAAGTATGCGACCCGTGTTCCACGTTGTCACCTAATGTTTGCTAGTCGCAAGAGACTATTACGGCTACTTTCAGCCAACTACGGTCGACGAATTCATCAAAGCAATGCTATGGATTACTGCTGTTTCTGATTTCTCATTTTCATCATTGGCTGCATTTGAGAATATGTTTGTTGTAGTAGTGCATAAGATAAACGTCCTCCACTGCGTTTATTGTTTTTGTAGCTTTAATCAATCTTTCATTTCCCTCCTAATAAGAGGTTGTCTACAGTGACTAGAGCATGAAACACCTCCACAATTTCGCGTGACGAATTGGTTCATAGGAGTAGGCTATTAATTTAACTGATGACTTTGAGACAGTGCAGAAGCTCTTCTAATATTTATTGAAAAAATTAGATTGAATAAAGCGTAACTTCTTCAGATCAGTGAGGGTAGAACGCTTATTGTGCTCGAATCCAGTGTTATATCAAATAAACCACTTCTGCGGTCACATCACAATCAAACAAGTGGCGAAAGTTCCACAGAATTTTCATGGACGAGTCGACCTAGTGTATATCACATTTTATCGCGCTCTGTTTTATAGGTGTGGTAGATGAATGATAGTACAGTGCTCAAATCAGCTAATCTGATCCTAAAAGTTTCTGAACTACTTATGCCCAGTTCAATTCCTTCTAGTTTGTGAGCCTGGAATCCGAACAATAACTTTAGGAAATCAAATAGCACCGCCTCCAGTGCCTATCCTGTGATGAATCAACACTGATTCGAGTGCAACGTTGTCAGTTATTAGGGCCGAATGGGCTAATTTAAGGAACATGTTTTGATCGAAAATATGATGTTTTTCAATAAATGACTGATATCCTGCCCAATTCAATTTCGCTCAGCCGAACCAAACTCTTAAGTCTCTACGAACGATTCAATCGTAAATTATGAAGGTTCACGTGCACAAAATGAATGCACTTTGAAATTTTTTGCGAAACTTCAGGAAAATTGCGAGAATGAGGAAGGCGATCGTTTCAAATTATGCAACACATCAAATCTCATATGCAGCCAACTAATTTGTCGGTACCGTGTGCACCAAACCACTGTTTGTGACGATGTCGGTGTCAGCTACATATTTTTGACCAAATAATATATGTAAAACTTGGCGATTTATCTCCTTAAATGAGAATTTCCTTGTGAGTCATTAAATGCGCATAACGCGCAGAATAGCGTTTTCGCTTTCATAGATATATTTTAAATTTGCTTTCGATCACTTAACACGCATGCTTTTCTACACCTCATTGATCCGCTTTCATTATTTTTTCAATGTGCGGATCCCAGTACTTCTAGCTCAATTCGTTTTTCGCTCTCTTCTTGAACGCCGTAGAATACTGGCGGAGTGCGTCCTCTTGCGATCTGGAGCATAGCCTGCCCGTGGCGTTCCATAGGACGTTGTTGTTGTCTGCCGGATACTTCTGGGGGTGAGGTCTGTAACTCGCTGCACCGCTAAGAGCATCACAAACACTCGGTCACGGGATTTCCCGACGGCAATCAGAATTTTCCTCTTTTCTGATCACACATACTACCGAAGAAGTACTTTATAATCCTTTACAATAGGCTAATAATCCTTACTACTTTGGAGATTAAGACTTGTCTTGCATCGCTATTTTTGGCGTACAAAATCGCTAATCACGCGGCATATCTACTCATTTTGGCAAGACAGGCGCACTAAGCCCATCGGCACCCAGCTTTTGCCTCACTTTCGTTCTCCTCTACCATTTTACTTTCTTGACAATTTCGACTTCAGAGGTCGTCCAGAGCGGTCCTTCTGGCCACAAAATCGCGGATCTGTCGCCTTTCCGTGTTTGGACACCTAAGGTACGGCCATGCAAATCTATGCAAGCAGAGCGATTGGCGCAGCGGTGTGCAGTTTTCGTTCTTTGATCAAGGTTTTTCCTCCGTTTTGTACGGAATAATTCGTTCTCAGGCGGGAATTGAATCCGCTTTTTACTCATATCAGGGACGCGTGCTACCATTACACCACAAAGACCACCGTTTTTCCGCCTTTCATTCTTCAATATATCGCTATAGCTAGCAGCTATCAACCTTCACCAAGTTCGTCGGGCAAGCAATATCGTCTTAAAGTCAGTAAAGCTGAAGGCCATTGTGCTTTTATAATTCCCAAAATTTCTTATGTTTTTACTGTTTTTTTTTAGCACGCGTCTCCGACACGGGTGAATAGCGAGATCAACTATCGTCTGAGATCCAATTTTGTTTACCATTGGATTCTCTCAGGTGCATTTAAAGACGAAGATTTGTTGACTCGAAAGATGGAGGATATATATGATTGGAATATAGGTAAATAGAATAAGCAGGGCACCTTTCCTGAATTCGATATATAGTCAAATGAAATGAAATAAGATAGGGTATATTTCCTATATCCCATATTCAAAAATGTATTTTTTGCTGTAAAAGGCACTTTAGTAGTCATTCGATAAGCCAGTTGATAGCCTAAATCTTGAGGATTTCAATGGCCTGCTTGCTTTTTTAGAGGAATCTCTTAGCGCACTATAGCAGTAAGATTAAAATACTTCCAACAACCGTTCGATAGTGCGGTTCCCAGCAATTTCAATAACGAGCTTGGTCTTTGTGAAAGATTTCTTGATTTGTTGCTACAGCTAAAAGAATACTGAGTTTCGCACTCTTTGCGCATTGCACACCACATGTGAACTGTGCTGTGCGATCGACAGGATCGAGTGCGAAGCGCACTATTCTTTTAGCTATAACAACGTACTAAAAGGATCTTCTCGAAAACCAAGCTTATTATTTGAATCGTTTGAACATGTGTTATGGAATGATTATTAAAAGTCTGAATGAAGAGCTGTGTCAGCCGAAAGACGCTTGAGTGTAATATAAAATTTTATCTTTGCTATTACAGCACAATATGAAACCAATTGGAAAATAAAATACAGCCTTGGAATTCTTGAGATTTATGCTATCGCATGACTACTGTTAAAGATACGCTCTGAGTATGGGTGCGGATAGGTGAAAGTGTCAAGTGCTCTTCTCAGTGATAAATGCGCACTCTTTCTAAACTTCATTCGGCTACGTACTGCGACTACCTCCATATAGACCTTAATTAGGGGTGTTTAATTGTAGAAGATGTGCTTTCAAGCTACAAACGATACAAATGCAATAATAAGGGTTGAAAGTTAGCCTATTTTTTTGCAGAAGTATAGTATCGCAGCTGAAAATTGAAGATTTTAAGTAAAGTAGGAACTATTTATATAGAAAAAAAACCTATGTAGAAGGTTCATTCATGATATTCCATCTTTTCTACAGCGATAAAGATACCTCTGACGTATAAACCTTATTTATAATTGCCAATAAACCATCCACCTATGGTATCCAAACGGTGGGGTAACATTTTACGTGTAAAATGCAATTTTTCTTTCGCTCTTACACCATACTATGATAAATATGCAAAAAAACGAATTACATGATCAAAACCACTAAGATTTGTGCTATCAAATCAGTAGTGAAACTTTAGTGAGAAGCCATATTGAAGCCCTAGCGTAGCAAATGAAGCAAATTAAGTGTGTAAATATTCTTGCTTCTACAGCATTATAAAAAGTCTTTATCATAAATCAAACATATCGCTGAAATTGCAAAGATTCAACATTTTGAATAATTATTAAATGTTCGAGAGAAAACTTTTATCCAGCGAGGAAGACCTTCAGGTAATCATGTATCATACTTGATACAAGTCGTCCCATAGGGGTCAACTTCTTTTGCCTTTACTTTATCACCTTATTTGATTTGTATCACCTTTTTTTCCCCATTTTCTCTTAATACTTACGATATCATGGACAGACAGATTGAGGCGATCCGTTGAGCACTCGTTATAAACTGGCGGAAAGTGCTGCAAGGTGGAGTGGGGGATTAACCTTGCGTCGAGCCATGCCGAGCGTCACTAGCTACTCGGCCATCGACGGCCTGACGAAATACTATTGCTTACGTGTGCGAGTTCCAGTCTTCTATTATTCGACTCGCATTCATCGCTTGCTTGAGGATTTCGGCTTCTTCACGCATGCTGGGCGTTCCGTGGGGCGACCGCTATTGATTGCTGGAGGTGTTGTATGGGAGGCCACCAGCGTCAAACGCGTCACTGGCCACTCGGCCAGTGGCCCATCGCGCTCTGCCTCTGTGCCTCTCGGCCGCTCTGCTTCTCCGCCCCTGCCACTCAGCCCCTGCTTCTCTCGCTGCCTCTCAGCCGCGCTGTTTCCCGTCTCTGTCTTCCAAGTTTCTCTGTATCTGACTCTCAGAATCTCTGCCTTTCTTTCGCTGCCTCTCAACCGCTCTGCTTCTCTGTCTCAACCTCGACGCCTCTCAGCCTCCGCACCCGTCATTCTCCTTTGGTGCTGGTTCGTAGGCGGTGGAGTGCTTCGCTCCTATCGGAATATATTTCAGAGCGGTTTCATTGGCCACGAAAACTGCAACTCCGTTCTATAGTACCCGAGAGAAGACCATCGCACTAGTTTCACAAAATTATCGTGCTCTTACTTTGTGCACTCGCATATTTTTTATGCCTCTCTAGCCTTCGCAAATCCTACATGATGTTCTGCCTCTAATCTTATACTTCTGAACCATAAAAGTCTATTGCGTAAGGATAAAAACCCTCATTCACTGTGCGATCGTAATGTGTTCAAATATTGGTCTCTTTTTTGGCAAGCAAATTATGATGTTCACAAGAATTCGTTATTTTATCTTTTAATTTGTTTGCAGTGTTATGAGGTCATAACTATATATTGAATAAAGTTGGGTGATATGCAAAACTCCGGAAATCAGGCGACAGTCGAACCTGCGTTTCATCATTACCTCGTTACCAGGGGCGGGCACTTCCATCACACCACCGAGAAGTATGCAATGATGTCACCCTGCGATGTAAGATAACGAAATTGTCTGCAGTGACATTTCAGAGGGTTTTTTTGTAGTAAAGACATGCTGGCACCGTCTTACAGAGAGTGCGGATAACGGAAAAGTGCCGTTTTCCTCATCAATTTTGTGTCTTTGGATCAGTCGAAAGAAAGCATGCGATTGTCTATAATGCCATAATTAAAGGAAGCTCGATCTATGTATCATTAACATCAATCAGAAATCATTTTATTTTACTGCCTATTGCGGCGTTATGATGTTTTAATAAACCTAGTGATGTAGAGTGGTGTGCGAAAACGCTTGCGTCGGCTGAGACTCAAACCTAGATTTCACTCTTTCCGAGAGCGCGCGCGGAACCGTTGCTCTGTCGACAATCGTTCTGCACGCCACTCTTAATACACTGCAACCGTTATCTGTCAACATCTAACCGTCTACGGTCTGGTGTGGGCAGTCGCTTAGCGACAATGAACCCATCCAAGTGGACTGCCCACTCCAAACTGTAGACGGCTGGCTGTTGACAGATAACGTATTGTAGCGTAGAAGGAGTGGCGTGCGTAACGAGCGGCGATAATGCAACGATCGCTCCCGGAAAGAGCGAAATCTGGGTTCGAGTCCCAGTTGACGCAAACGTCTTTCCACACCATTATTGTCTAAATTATCGGGTTCATTACTAGTATATTTAGGTTAAAGACTTCGACAGATGCTTTGAGTCATCAGTGTCTTTTTGACGACGCACGCTCAGTCAAGAGCGCATGTGGCGCAGTTGCTAGGGGTGCTCTGGATCGCGCAAATGATCAGTGGTTCGATTTCGCGCTCGTGGCTTACCAAGCCATCCGTCCATCCGCGATCGATAAAGTGGTACCAAGCTTGTCTGGGAGGATTATCAGTACTGACGCGATACAGCGGTAGGCCAGCGTGAGTCATTGTAAAGGCCAGGTATGGATTCAGTCACCTCAAGCGAGGTGAAGACGAATGCATGACGCATCCTCACGGATTGTTCGAGGCCCAGATCTATACAGTTCGTGCTCAATCAGTGAGCACAGTACTGTTTATGCTGCATTCGCCAATTTGTTATTATTTATTCATTTGCGCGACCTTTTTTGACAACTTCAATTTTGAAAATCCCAGACTTCCAGCATTCATTTCGTTTTTCGTCTTCCGCCCGAATGACGTAGAATATTGGTCGAGATGCCTCCTTGCAATCTCGAAGATAGCCTGGCTGTGGCGTCCCATAAGGCGTTCTTGTCGTCTACTGCCGGCGAGTGTTAGGTAGTGGAGCTTAAATTCACGCGCTCTGCGACAAGCCTCACAATTACTCGGCTACGGTGCTAATCGTGAATTCGTGGGGATAAATGGCGGTTTTCAATAATTGGCTTTAGCGCTCGCTATCTTCTTCCAGCTATGCGGCCAAATGCTTTGTGTTCATTAGTGTTTGATTCAAGAACGCCTACAACTCCTTGACATCGTGTTCATGAGACTACTCTATTCAGTTTTTTCAGATATCGTCCGGTGACTCTTATGGAACGAAACGAGACTAAGTGTGGCGCACAAGAAACCCGAAGTGAGGTCTACAAAATAAAAGTGAGTGCTTTAACAGGTTTCTGCTAACGATGTTGTCGTTTTTGCTTTTACGAGATGTTGTGGCACGAATGGATTGTTTGTACGCCATACTACCAACCGGCAAGTTTTCGAGTCATTTTATTCTAATCTCGCTATCGGTTTCGCTCTGTAAGTCACTTTATTCCAGCCAGTTCTCTACGAAAGGAATTTGTTTGAACCTCTGTTCGAACCAAGACAGACTCGTACCGTGAAAGAAGAGACTGGCGAGGCTACGCCTAGCGGAAAGGAAAGGACTGGAGAAAACTGGATTTAGTGAGTTGTTCAGACACTTTCATCTGTTAGTGTAGTACAGAGCCAATCATAATTGTTACTCAGTATTAACGAAAGAAATGAAAAAAGAATCGTAGGGCTTTGGGTTCCTTGTAGTTATGAGGGACTAATGAAAATCCGAGCTCACTCGCTGGGGAGGGACTTTTCATAGGAGTATTAGTAACCATTCGGAAGCTGAGACTTCATGCTACAGTACCACATTGCCCATTTTCAAAAAAGCTTTTT